GCCATCTAACATGGCTGCCGTCACGTGATGGTATAAACACTTTATACAGGTTTAAATTACCGGGGGGAAATCCTCTCTGGGACTTTGACCACTGGCCGTTAAATATAGAAGTTCGAATGCACTTCCCATCTATCCACGTTTCTTTGATTCACACTAAACACTGCGCTATTTTTTCACGTGATAGATTACGGATCTAGTGCGCATGTTCCATCGCCCTCCTGTAAGTTCATCAAAGAAAGAAATCCTCAAGCCACGTCAGGGATTTACTGGATTTTGCTCAACCAACCAGACACTTGGGCTTTTGAGGTCTACTGCGACATGGAGACTGACGGCGGAGGATGGACTCTGGTCTATAACTATCATTTTACTAACTTCACCTTCTTTAGCAGCCTAAACAATGCTGTCACACCAATCCCTAGCTGGACCGTGGACCAATCAAGCAAACTTGCCCCAGTCTCGATAGAACCACCTCTTGACGAGTGGACATACTCTGCTGTTGATTTCCTGCTGTGGAGAAAGATTGGTAACGAGATTCTTGTCCAATCTACAGTCACTCATTGGATTGCGTGTAGTCCGGGCACTGGAGACCTAGTCCGTTGGAATCCAGGGACAATCAATTGTAGAATAGTAAAACAAGTGGCTGAAGTATGCATGGACGTTGTACCTACAACGTTTCAGATTGTGTCTTACTGTGGACCAGCCCTGCGAAGTGCTCAAGGACAATCAGTGTTTTTCTTTGATGGCTCAACTCAGTCTTGCTACCCTACACATGATCCTTGTGGGACAGGGCAAGTGACCAATCACCGCACAGATGTGGAGGTCCCAAAGGGATCCATCTACATACGATAAGTACATTGACTGATACAGCTATTTCAAAAAAGATTGAACACTGAATACTGMATACTGAATAGTGCATTCCAAGACGGAAGTGCATTGTGGGTCATAGTGACATTGTCTAAAGTAGGATTAATAATATTTATTTATTCTATTTTTAGTGTACTCCATCTAAAACAATATACTAACTACATGTAGAGTTAGTTGCTGTATATTTACTTCTCATTTCAAATTAACAAGACCCACAATGCACTTTGGTCTTGGAATGCACTATTCAGTATGCAGTATTCAACCTTTTTTGCAATAGCTGTATACGAAAGACATTGTAAAATAGCGCACGAACACTCACCTAAACCTTCAAGATTTATCAGTCAATTTTACTTTACTCATTATGAAAGAAAACTGATTTAAAACAGCAAAAGATAGCTAGATTGTAGAGACAGACAGGCAACATGAATGCATGTGTCAATACGAAGGAAAGTTGAAGTATCTCAATAAGGACTTTTACATGTCTCCTCATAGCACCTCGTAAGCATTTTAAGGCTATTTATTGCGGGCCGGCCATATATTTAGCCAGATCACTAACAGGATGTATTTAAAGGAGTCCCTGTGGATATCCCGTCTGCTATTAAGATGATCGCGAATCTTTGTTGGGGTGGAAAATTAGGGTGCCCACTGATCTCTGGTATATCTTGAAATTGAAATCTGGAATCTAAATATCATATATAGTGGATATTACACGGTGGAGCGAAGATATGAAGTTTATTTATCTTCGAGTGGTGAAATATTCAACACGGCGTATGCGGATAGTGCAGTTCCAAGCAATCTCATACCCAGAGCCTGCGTTTCTTATGGCCTGCGGCGAAGAACAAGGGCTCTGGCATAATCCAGAATTAACCAGGACTGCAGAATCGTGCATTAGCTTCCAAACAAAGTATATAACGGTTTGCTTAGACATTATTTGAATTAGAAAAAAAGCGACACAATTTTATTTTGTAAGATTTGAATAAGATTTAATACATCTGTAAAAAGCTTAGGTGGTACAAGAACGTTGTCATACGAAAACAGAACATTAGTGATTTAGTGGGATAGGGATTATATTAAAAAACAAAAGAAGATCACTGAAGCTGAACTTTTTCTTTTGTCTTTTAATGTATTCCTTTCTCACTAAATTACTAATGTTCTAATATCGTATGACAACGTTCTTGCAAGTAGGTGTATTTAGAATGACTAACTTCCGGTACTAGCATTTGGAATCATCAGTTCGAGGAGGTCCTGATTTGTTATATATCGACAAACCCAACCTCACCCTTCAGGGGCCATGGGAAGTCATACACTTTAAATTTCATCATATGCAAAATGTTTTGAGCAAATTGTGTTTGCAACTTCGTTCGCATATTTATCACTTGCAGAAACATAATTAAACATAAACGTCTAGGTTAGTTCCTTTGTATTTCACTAAAATTTTCAAGATAAAAGTGAATCTGGCCAAGAAAATCCATCTTAAAGTTTATGCAAATGAACAGGATTCTGTATCAGATTTACAAAACTCTTCGCGGTCGTTATTTCTGTTGTGTTTTCCTCATGAATTATTAATGCMTTTAATAATGTAGATTAAAATGTATACGTAATTAGAATTCAAATTAATTTCAATGGTTACTGTAAAATCATTGTTGATTCAAATACAATAAATCTTACATCGTTTTTAAGATCAAAATTTAAATTAAATTGAAGCTAATTACAAATGATTATTGTAAAAAAATTGATTAAAAGGCAATATTTTAAATCAAATATCGTCAGTCTGTTCAGTTGATACTCATTCAATGCTCATTCTCTGACGCACCGGACATCCAAGTCATGAACCTAGCCGTGATTTCCGAACACGGTTGTCCCCGACTTTTTACTTTAACGTGTGGGAGTCACGGCTAGGAAGTAGTAAGAAAGACACCATCCCACTGCAACCATCCAGCCTGGCTTGAGATCTTCCGGCATAAGTTGTGCTCTGTGATCGATAGCTCGTTTTCATGGGGACAACCCATTTACGAAATACTTTTCCTGTCGAACAGAGCATCAAACGTACGTAAATCATAGTAAAATATTTAATAAAGCTTTAGTTGTTTAGTTTTTAATTGTTTTCTATTGTTTAACTAGCACTATTTTGTACTATTTAGTAATTAGTGTTTCACGGATTTACTGTGGTTACTCTACAACTTTTAAGTTAAAACTTTTAAGTTTTAAGTAAAAGGGTTAGGGGAATTTGGTAAATTGAATTCGGTGGAAGATGAATAAAATAAAATGAAACACTAGTTGAAGAATACTTGGTGTAGCAGCTCTGCAAATACGATTAGCCATGTTTAGTGAAAGCCTTTATGAGGTATAAAACCAGCTTTTGGTCTGAATCAACATGTAAAAATCTCCTCACCCAACCACAACAGGAAGCATGATTGTCAGTCAACATCTCTCGAGCCGTGAGCAAAACCTGTCATTTAGAGTAATTGTCTTCCAACCCACGGACATGACGTTTGGTGTTGCATAAATAAGAAGGTTGTTGAAACATCTTGATTTATATTGACTTCGAATGTAAATAATAAAACAACTCTACTAGTGAAGTGAATTTTGAAGAACCACTTTGAAGAAGCATACTGGCTACAGCAAGAGAGGAGTCATTTGCTAAGATGAAATTTCTGTGTCTTCTTGTGCTTTTTGCCCTCGGGGCTTATGCTGGGCCAATGTAAGTATTTATACAAAATTAATAGTGTTTACTATACATGAGAATCGTGATGAATATAAAAAGATAAAGTGCCGAATTGTGATATTGAAATTGAAATTAAAGGTCCCGTGATAACATACGCTTTTAAATAGTTTCATTATCATGTAAGTCCGGAGTAAGTAACGATCAAGTCTCTGAAAATGCTCTAAGTGGGGTTTTAAAACATTATAAAGTTAATGTATTTTTTATTTCACCATTGTTATAAGTATGTATCCCCTTACTACAGCCGAACAACTTTACTTTACGCGTATTTTATAATAGTCAATGGCCTTATGACATGCAACCAAGACAAATTATRAGTTCAAGTTTCATAATTTAAGACGATGAAGAATAGAGATGGAAAAATGAAACGTTTGTATAAACTATCTGCAGTCAAATTTCCTTAAATATTTCTTTGGCCTAGGTTTAGTTTCAAAGCTCGGAATCTGCCGAGGTCCACTAACCCTCAGTGAAAAATTTCACGAAAAAGAGTTCGTGTCAAAGTCTCATTCATAAAGATTCATAATTGAGTAGCTTCCATTGACATGCCAGTTCTTGCTAATACGGATTACCTTTATCAATGATCCAGGGGTMGTGTGATACGTGTAACACCATCTAGCAAAGCCCAGCTGAACTTCCTGTCCAATTTGGCCGATAATGACGTAAGTAATGCAGCGTCGAATGCCGGAGCCTTTCCGGAATCGGTGTGGGGACTCGGGCCGAGTGAAAATATTAATCTAATAAAACTACTTCGACGACAAGGCGGCCATCTTGCAATGGGGCAAAACAAAACAAAGATGACGAAAAAATATAGAGTTTTGTGTGTTTGTCTTTCTTTTATGGGAAAAGGTGATCGATGTGCCGTCTTAATTCATCTTTTGTTGTATTTGCCTCCTGGACGCCCCACAATACCTTGCGATCCAAGATGGCCGCCGAATTCTCGAGGCTAGTAGTAAATTAGAATTGATCCCCATCACAAAGTAGTAGTATTTTGATCGACTCATTACTTTAAAAAACCTTTAATTTGCCCAAAAAAGGGCTTGACTCCATATGGAATCCAAAAAATCAGCTAGGAAAAAAAAAAGATTAATGTATTTCAAAGATTTAAATCAAAAAAATATTACTTATTTTTTGTATGCAGAATATGGACCTTGATTTCTGGRCACATCCCTCTAGAGTTGGTGGTTCAGTTGATATTCGTGTAACAACTAGCAACTATCCAAATCTAGCTAAGTTACTCCAGCTAAACGGCATCGTGTTTACGATTCTAATCCCCGACGTAGATGTTGCCGAAGCCAATCAGAATCCACCGAGTTCTGCAAGAGCTGGAAGCTTTGACTATAATCGATATAACCCTCTTGATCAGGTTTGTTAGAAACACATTGCGCTTGAAGTATTTTTTGGGTCATTCTTACGGCTTTGGTAACTTATTTTTACTGTTTGAACTTTAAAAATATATATAATTCCTTTCTTTCCTTTCTCGCTCACTCACTCACCTCACATTTCATCTACTCCTTATTCACTCATTTCATCCATCCATCCATCCATTCATCCATCCATCCATCCTTCCCTCCCTCCCTCC